GGGAGGCAGAGGGAGGCAGACAGGTGAATCCTCGCTCTCAGGATGAGCCTGTCAGTCTGCCACGAGCTGGCAGATGATCACACTGCCCAGCTTCTTCTCGTCATCCTCCTGCTGAAGGAGAAGGTCTGACAGAGAGAGGAACAGCCCTCGAGCCCCAGGGCATCCTGTCCATGTGATGAGAGGGAGCTGCTGAGGGTCACACCTGCCTCATGGTTCCCCTTAGCTCGGCGGCCCATACCCCCACACCTCACTCGCAGCACTGCAGGATAGTGCCCCACTGAAGCCAGGAGGATGTGTTCTCTACACGTGCCCACGTCCGATTCCTGTCACCACACTCCTGCTGCTGGTGACAAGCTCTGCGACCCCACGAGCAACCCACTCAGCGCAGACATCCGGCTGCAGCTGTACATGATATGCAGTCACTTCACCAGTAAGATACAATATCTAATTAGTGACACAGCTACTCGTGAACAGCTCTGTGACACTCATCCAGAAAGCTCTACCCCAGCCTTGCCCCGTGTGTGTTAAGTCTCGACAGGGTGCTTAATCTCCCGGCACAGTGGGCCCCACAGCTAGGGGGGTGACAGCATGGCTCCCCATGCCACAATCCCATCTCCGCCCCTGCTGGCATGTCCGGATCTTTCTGCGGTGGCCCAGCATGCCAAGGGAGGGGGACTCGTCTGCAGTCTCGCCATTATGTCCAGTGGGGGTCTGCTCAGTTCCCTATTAGCCGCCCTACTAACCAGCAGCGCTAACCTGCCCCTGATAACCAGCCATATCCTCGCAAATGGATGCCTCCCTTCACCAGCATTGAGGAAGTAGCCCCAAATCCACGGCCCCCTCTGAGCGTCAATCTCTCCACTGATACGGCAAAAATTTTCCCACTGACTGCTGGGGAAGCTGATCGATGCTGCCGGCGCCCTCTTCTGGCCAGGCTTGGCGCATCGCACCCCGAGAGAAGTGTGCGCAGTGTCTCGGCCAAACAAAGCCATGAGTTTAATTAATAGCACAACGGAGAGCGTGAACGGCCCATGCCGCAGGGAACATCAGAGCCAGGCTGGAGGCTGCGTCCGAGTGGAGGAGGTGTCACCATTTATCATCATCATCATGTTTCTCTGAGGTTTCAAAACAAACATTCATCACACGTCGAGGACTGAATCTGTGTAAACTCCATCCCTCGATTGAGGAGGAAAGCCCCATCACAAGGGGCAGTTTAATTCGATTAAATTCAGTCTGCCATTTTCTAGCCCCCCTCAGTGGACAGTAATTAGCTGAGGAGCTGGGCTCCTCCCACAAGCCTGGACCAGTGAAGGATGTGGGCCACAAAAATGAATGTGGGGGGATATGATCGTATGGCTCATAAACAAGAGGACTGCTAACCCTCCCACCACGATTCACACTGTAGTCTTCATTACATCAACTACTCCTGAACCTCACCAGAGAGATGTACTGCTTTCCGGAAAACTCTGGCCTATCCCTTTAATCAGTGACTCCCTCTGATCAAAGCCTGTGATCTACCTGACGTGAGCTTAGCCAAGAATGACGGCTGTGTCTGCAGGAGCAGCCAGGAGGACACGCCAAGCAGACATCATCAAGGGATCAAGAAATACAGCCTCCCAATCTCATTAAGTTTTGATGGTACAGGTCTCCTGTCACTGCAAATGCAGCCTGGACTCTACAGATGCTATGAGTCTCCCATCACTGAAAACGCAGTGCAAACCCTATACAGAATGTGTCTCCCATCACTGAAAACGCAGTGCAGACCCTATACAGAATGTGTCTCCCATCACTGCAAACATAGCACAGACCCTACAAACAGAACGGGCTTCCCATCACGGCAAAGGTAGGGCCTACCCAAGAGACAGTACGGGTCCCTCGTCACCGCAAACACAGTGTGGACCCTACAGACAGCACAGTTCTCCAGTCCCTGGGTGTGTGTTACCTTCACTCTTCAACTAAAGTCAAGCCAAGTAGGTCTTTAATGACATTAAAACAAGGCAATTGCATAACAATGTAGAGTGCACAGTGTGCAAAAACTGTGCAAACATTGCAGGACAGTGCAAAAGGACAGGACAACTGCCACCGACGAGTACAAACAGCACAGTGAACCCAATACTTATAAGTTTGGTTGTGCAATGAGGTAGCAATAAAAAAATAAATGTTGACTGGTCGACATGGGGGCGTAGAAGCACGTCATCTACCAAGGGCAGCAAGACTGCTCCCTGCGTTGCACTAACAACACAGCAGAGGTCCGGGTTATCGCCAAAACCAAGCCACGGTGAGGAATCAGACAAAGTGAGGTCCCCTTTCCATTGACACGGACACATCCCCCCCCCCAAAAATAACCACCAACCAATCAAAATTAGCTTTTGAAGCATCATGTCTTTCTGGAAATGTATTAGCCCCAAAGTGCCCTTTACAGTCATTAGGGTGCTGATTAAATCTCACTGTACAAGAATGAAGACAAATGGGAGATGGGCTGGTCTTAGGCAGTGTAAATCTGAAGTCAATTTAATTAATGAATTAGCGGTTACTCACTGATGACCGCTCCAGTGCGTGACCCCCCTGCCCCCCCGGCCCCCTGTGCCACAGTATCAGATGAAAGGCAAAGGACACAGCCATTGCGAGTCCGGAAAATGAGCAGCAGAACCACTCGCACACACCCTCCGTGCTCTGAGGATGAAACTTGTTCATGCGCTATTCATATGATCTTCTGTTGCCTTGGCATCCTCTAACCTAAACTATGGATATTAACACCTTGTTTCCTTCAACTGTGAAGACAAATTCACAACAGATCACCGTTTGGCCGACTATACAGATTCATCCTTATGAGATCCCGCTGATTATGAGACCTGGCAGGGATGGAACTCCGATGAATCAAATCATTCTGGCATTATCTTCCTCATGTTATCGACATATGCTCGACTGCTCTAATCTCCGTCTTGGGATAAAATTACTGAACATGATCTATCAGATGAATCACCACAAACAGATTTTACAGTGTCCACACTGCCTTGTCTTATTTATTTAATCAGCATGAATAACAGTGCTTGTGTATGTAGGCGGACCGTCGGCTTTGCATGTCTCACTAACGGCAGCGACGATCGGAGCTTTAACACAGCCCCCTTTAATGGGGCCCCACCCTAGGAGACATCACACCCAGGCCATACGAGCTGCAGGACACAGGGGGAAGCCGTCCACCGCCAGCTGGAGCGCAGCCTGTAATTAAAACGCTCTACTGTGCATTCCCAGCCTGTCCGTGATGAGAGTGCCTGCGGCAACGCCAGCCGAGCCACACAAGCTCCGAGCGTCTCCAGAAACTCGCTAAAGACGCCCCACCCCATCTCGCTGCCTCACTTGTTTTCGTGGTGGCGCTTCGCGGTCGACTGTTTGGAAGTGTGCAGACCTGATTTCACAGCCACAGGTGGGCAGGTCGTGTCCAGAGGGTAAAAGCCCAGACCAAGATTTGATTTGAAACAACTAACCACTTAAGTATACAGTCACAGAGATCTTAATTGCCTGGCTGAAACAAAGTCTTGGTCTGGACTTTCTGGACCTGAACTACCCACCTCTGTTCACAGCCCTGTCTTTCGGCCCAAGACTGCCATAGGCATTTGTTCCACTAGATGGGGGAACTATGGCCTGCTTTGTCAAACCACAGATTTTCATTACTATCAACATGCTTGTAGCACCAAAACAGGTCCTTTCCAGAAAGGTAGGGAACATGGGCACAGATAGAAGAGTCCATGGGGAAGTTTAACCCCAACAGCACATTCACAGATCACAGTTTCAGTCAAGCAGCGGCAGTCGAGCAGCGGCAGACGAGCAGCGGCAGTCGAGCAGCGGCAGGCGAGCAGCGGCAGACGAGCAGCGGCAGACGAGCAGGGGCAGACGAGCAGCGCCTTCTGCTGGAATTGCTCAGATTTACTAATAAAGCACTAATACTGGTGAAGGACTTCGATGAAGCCGCTGGTCAGGTTCTCCTCCACGCCTCAGTAAATCACGGGAAATGGCTGGGATCCCAGCCGCGATAAGTGATGAGGGAGGAAGGGGAGGGCAGCCGGAGTGTGAGCCAGCGGCACACGGAACCACGGGCAGTGCCTGGGTTTGGTGATCGCTTACATCTCCCTGGCAATCGATCACCGGCTCTACAGCGTTGTAAGGTGATAAACCCAGGTGAGCCAAGCAGGACGAGCTGCTCAGTTACTGCTTAAGCAGGGTCCACTGGGGGATACGCTGCTGCCCCCCTCCCCCTGCAACCTGCCGCTATCCAGGTGCATTTTGGTCTATTGTGTATAACTATCCCTATCTTAGAGCATAGAGCTGACACCCATTTCCCTGACAGGACCCCCCTCGCCTGAGAGCGGACACAGATGATGTTCAGATGGGCATCAGGCGCCGAGGCTCCTGGGAATGCCGGTGCCGCCGCCAGACTCCATTCCACTTAATCTTCCCTGATCCTTTCTTCTATAGAACGAAAATGGGGGAAAGTCAGTCAAATATTCCCTCAGATGGAAAATCGCACATCAGCAGGTGCCCAAGGAAGTATGAAATAAATAAAGAGATTAGAGATGGAGGAAATGCATCCTGGGAGCATTTTTTAATAAAGAGGCAGCTCGCTGGAAGCTCCGGCCACCTGGGATCCGGCGCAGTGGGTGCGCGAGGCACAAATAAGCTTCTCTCACTCCTGAGGGGGGTCATTATATTCTGTGGGGGAAGGGGGGGGGGCATGAAACCCGTTACAGCAGTGACACAGTGGGGACAACAAGGGGTCACAGTCGCAGTGTGTTCGGGAGGCGAGGTCAACAGAATCACCTGGAGGTGGCATGGGCACTAATGAACATGGAGGTCAGCTTCAGACGCACTGCGATGGAGGGAAAAGCAGTCCGGCTTTTCTGCAGATCTCCAACAGTCCACTCCCCAGTTTACACCCAGCCCAGATCCCAAGAGCAGTAACTGCAAAGGGTGTGACATTGTGATGGATGACGGGTCACAGGGGGGCCTTCCCAGCATGCAGTGGGAGGCCCATGCCCCGCCCTCGCAGGGGAAGGACCCCGGCACGCCTGCCACTCTTTTCATTTCCCAGAGAGAGTGGCTTCTTCAGTTCATGGACAGTGCTGATGGGGCGTGAAATCCCTCTGTAAAAGCTCCCCCCCAACCCCCCACCCAATGGGTTTGTTTCACTTCTTCAATACTTCATGTACTGTAAAAAGTGGGGCTGATAGCGACAGGACAGGTCAGCGGAGCGAAGCGGAGACAGGGCCTGGGCACGGACATTTCCCAGAATGCTCTGGGTGAAGATGACAGGAAACCTTTACTGTCAAGAGGTCAGCTGGATAAACAGGTTAAGTGCGTCCTGGAGAGGTGTCCCCTGATGGGTGTGGGGGTCCTGCCTGGTGGCACACTGGCCACCTGGAGCCCCCGAGTGTCAGGGGAGCCCATCCATACAGCCAGGATGTCAGTAAAACTCCACACTGTGGATCAACACCATAATAGTAAAGCCAAAGCGAGCTGGCTTTGACCCATTTCAGGCTGAAACACGCCTCAGAAGCCCTCTGTGAAGCCTCCCTAATGTCCTGCATCACCCATTGCTCACACGCTCTTCATTATGCAGTCCTTCAGGTTGAGACGCTCTTACCAGAATACAAAGCGTCATGCAAACCGTGGGCAACAGGGTGAGCGACTCTCATAACACCTGCTGCCCTGACACACACTGCACATGCCTCGCACACGCCTCGCACACGCCTCGCACATGTTGTACACACAGGCCTGTCCTCCTTACCTTGCGGGACTGTATCTCCTTGACATACAGGGGCAGCAGAAACTCGGAGACTCCCTCAAGGTGGATGCCCTGCTTAGTGACCCGGAGGTTGCCCATGCCGTCCTGTGGAGAGGGAGAAAAGGTCAGGAGAGCTCTGGTCCTCCACGAAAAGCAGAAGCATTGAGGGTGAACCTCGTGTGCACTTCCTGCCTCATTACGTCCCCCACGCTCCTGGCTTCAGGTGACATCCAGAGCTCTGTAACCTGCCTGCTGGCTGTAATCATCACAAAGGCACCGCTATCTCATTCATGAATGTTCTTGGCCTTCTTAGCTCTGGTAGTAGAACCAGCTAAATTGTCATTGGGTTATTGAGATTCCACCCAGTCCTGACGGATGAGTAATGGAGCTCAGAAACCCCACCCAGCAGGACCCGTTTGGCACCGCCTGCCCCGGCCTGTGGCCTCACTTCCCATGTGCAGATGTATGAGTGGATGAATGTGAGTAGATTGTCTCTGAGATGCACAGGTCACCCGGCAGTATTAGGCAGGACTGGGACCCGGAAGAGGGAGTGAAAGGCAGCCACAGCATCTCTGTCAAAGTCAACTAGATGCTCATGAATCTGAGCCTCTGCCAGTAAATATAAGGTGATGCTCTCTCTTTCACACACACACACAGACAAAGACACACATACATACACTGGGGCACTTTCAGATCCCTCCCCAGCGTCATTCTCAGTGAGAGAAGCTGTCACATCTCTATGTGCCAACCTAATATCTCACGTCTCCCTGAGTGACATGCTTTCAGCAGTCTGGCCCTGTCCATCCAGAGGCAAGTCAGCACACTGTCTCCAGGTCTCCCGTGCCATTCACACATCCCTGACATTCTGTATATTTGTTCAGGTTTAACCGTGTAACAGAGAAGATGTCTGTCTGTCGTTCGTAACGCAAGAAAGAGAAGCTGTTTCCCCACACTAAAAAACACCGATGCACCTCCAAACGCCTCACACCTGATCCCGTGACGCTTGGGAATATTGGTAGATCCCGTCCGGACCCCTCGCACGGCCCAGGCGTGATGGGCAGCTCTCTGAGAAGGTGCGTGGGCCTGATGAGTATGCAGAAATGACCTGGCCAGAGCGGGAAGGGGAACTTCAGGAAGCCATGAGACAAAGCAACATGTTTAACAGCAGGACCAGGGGGGTAGACTGGGGGATCAGCCAGGCCGCCTTTGGAGATGGGGTCACAACCCCATTTGCTCAATTAATGATTTCTTCACCCACATCTATCAATTTATTATTGAATTTCATGGATCCTCAGTGAGTGTGACCTTTACACATTCATCCTGCAGACATATGAGCAAGTAAGACCCCACTATGAGGGGGGGAACCAGGACTTGAGCCAGTGTTTGACCACAACGCGTGCCTTTGTCAGGGAACTCAGAGGAGGATTGACGTGACTGTGCTAAGTTTGGAAACCTTCTGGGATGGCTTCCCCGGCTAGACAATGATGAATTAAACTTTAGTATACATCGTGGTACCAGGCAGTCATAAATTAACAGGAGAACAAGTCCGAAAGCAACACGGCAACCTGGGACGCACATGGCATTTTCCGGAGCGTTTCCAAATGTGCTCCGCAGCATCTCAGGGGCTTCAGTACAATGAGGACACCGAAGCAGGTCACGGACGGCTCCCGCAGACGCGGAAGTCGATGGCCCTCCGTCCCTGACCAGACGCCCACACACGGGACCCAGGGCAAGACACGACTCTTCCAAAGTTCCTCTTCTTCGGGAATAATTAACAGCAGAACTTCTTTTTTGCTGTGTGAAGGTCACTTCTGCTTATGAGGAACTAAACTACGCAGCTCTCTTGATGACTAAGCACGGGCGTGTGCCAGCCTGCGCGTCTAACACAAACTGATTAGGCGTGAATGAATTACGCTAAGCAGACGGGACAGGGCCACACAGCTGCGGCCACCTCTGGATCTTCATTCCTCCAACCAAAGAGGCCTGATATACTGGGACGGCAAAGTGGGACAGTCCCGGTGGGGGACATTTCTATTGGCTGATACCTAACAGGAGAGTAATTCCATTGGTCAATGTGGTAAAGAAGCATGTCCACTGGGGGTGCAATCGGTCAGCAGTTAATTTGCTGAGCAAATGATGTATGGGGTATGAACTTCCCCTGCAGAAGAGCATCAGTGTGACGCGGGCCGCCCAGACCAGGGTGGCCTCGCACTCAGGAGCCGCATCGATTCAGTCTTGGCAGCGGCGCCAGCAGTATGGGGCAGTGGTGAGCCGTGAGTCGTCACAGGCCCCGGCCGCGGTCAACACGTATGTAAACGTGATAGGCGTCTGATCCAGACATGGCTCCACACCGTCATCTCCTCATCGCTATTAAAACGGGTTCCTGGAGAAAAGCAGGCTGGCCTTCCGTCACCCAACAGGAATTCCAGCTAACTTTTCCCTCCACTTCCAGCTCAGCTAGGAGCCCAGAGTGTTATTAAAGGCGAGTCTCGTGGTGCAGGCGCCCGAAGCTGAGCTGATTATCCGCACTTTCCGCCATAAATCCAGAGCTCCGGGCACCGTCCTGCATAACAAAGCGTGAAATATATGATGCACTCAATTACGCCATTAGGGAACGCCGGCCAGGTCACATTCTGATTTAACCTGTATGAGGGGCGGCTTCTGTGCATCTCCGCCGCCCGCGGCTCGCTGGGCTCCTCGCATGTGAAGACAAAGCTTCTGCATAACAAACATAATCCATATTTTCCAGACGATTTCAGCCGCTGCTCTTGCTTGACTTACCGCGCACGCGATTACGCCCCATAATTCTCCTCTTTAATGACCGGTGCAGTGCATTTATCTATACGCAGGAAATAGCTGTATATTTCCTGCTTACGCTTTTGACATCGTTTTCCAGCTGACCAGGCCCGGCTTGGGACTCACTGCGTTAATAGAGCCGTAAGCCCCGGGGGGGCAAAAGCATGCAGTCATGGTGACAGACAAATGCACCCCTTCGGGTTCCATCTCTCCTGATTGTACATCAATACCCGTGGCTCCCATCAGCAGCGGGCTGGAGTGCGTGGCAGGGGTGCTCTTGGTACTCTGAAAGGTTGGGGTATATATAGAGCAGGGTTCTTCAAATCTGGACCTCGATTCCAAATCCAGGCCTTGTTTTCAGTACCCCCAGGTTTAATAATTACTGATTCTGGTTGGTCAGAGGTTTCACACCTGGCTCACAGGTAGAGAAAGGCTGGAATACCAGCAGTGCTCGGACCTCAAGAACCGTGATTTGAATAACCCTGAGAGATTTTCTGCAGATTACACCTAAATATGTGAGAGAAATTACACCTAAATATGTTTTTTTTTTTTTTTTTTTAGCATTTAAACACAAAATTAACAGGATAAAACAAGAAGATAATTTTTTTCTTAATGGCTTCCAAAACGATAAAGATCTTATCCCAACATTACCCCTGTCCTGCCCCGATTGTCCGCTCC